TTTTCCCTATTGCTGGGGTATTCCGTTTTGCGGGCCTACTGTATGCTTCGGTTTTTTTACTATGGATATGGTTATGGTATAATTTGTTTTGCTGGTCTTGTATGTTTCCCGGTTGGTTTGGTCACGATGTTCGGGCTATTTCATGGGTGTAGTGGTGCTTTCACGTGGTACCAGTTATTCGGGTTTTTGGCAGCCTGGTTGGTGGTTTCCCGTTGTTCGGCCTTTTAAGCAGAGGGGCGGTGCTTGTATGTGGGAATCATCATCCGGGATTGTCTTCTCTCTTTTTAGGTTGTCATACTGTGGATCGGAACTGTTTTACTATACTATGGATATGGTAGAATTTGTTTTGTTGGTGATTTTGACACCCTTGTCTGCACCCCGGTTGGTTTAGTTCCGTCGTTCGGATTACGGTAGTAGCCACGTAGTGGTGATTTCATGTGGGATTTATCAGCCGGGTTTTAGCCTTTTTTGGCATTCTAGGTGGTTGCTTCCCGTTGTTCGGCCTGTCCGGGGGCGGTGCTTTTTTGTGGGAAGCAACATCTAGGATTGTCTTTTATGTTTTTTTGTTGTTGGTGCTGTCTCAGTAATTTAGTTTAAACCAGCGAAGCGGTGGCTTGACAGTTTGAATCTGTACCAATTTTTGCAACAACAACAATAAAATCAATCGCAAAGGATTCTTGGAGCTGGCGCTTACGAAAGGTATGTTATCTGGGATTGTTTGTTTGCAGGCAACGGTGTTCCTGAATCCTGGTTGGTCTTATCCCGTTGTTTGGCCCTGGTGGTAGGGGCGGTGCTTGCATGTGGGACTTGTCATCTAGGATTGGTTTATGTTTGCTTCCCCCTGTTTTGTTGTATTTGGTTGTTCCCTTCCTCTTTTCTTTGCCTCTTTGCCTTTTGGTTGTGTGCAAGTGGGTCGATATGACACACGGGGGTGGGGGCAGCTGCCGCTCAACCTACATCCACGTGGGCGGCCTTGTACACAAGAGGTTGTGAACAGGGGGAGTTGAAAGGAAGAAGATAAAAATTGAATTCACTTTTCTTTTCTCCTTTTTTTTTTTCTTTCTTTCTTTTTTTTTCGCATTTGCGCTCTTATATTTTGTGACAATATATATATATATATATATATATATACAGGGTTACTGGCGTTCGGGACGGGCCGAACGCCCGAACCCGAACGACCGAACGTGTTGGACCCCTTCGAAAGTTGTTCGGCCGTTCGGGCCGAACGCAGACCAAAAAAAAAAAAAAAAAAAAAAAAAAAAAAGTTTTCATAAAATTCCGAAAAAACAATATGTTATGGAGAAAAATAAACTAAACAACATTTGCTTGGGCACTACATCCAAATTCTTTACCAAATTTGAAATAAAACAACGGGAAGCAACCACCTAGAATGCCAAAAAAGGAAAAAACCCGGCTGACAAGTCCCACATGAAATCACCGTTCGGGTTTGGGCGTTCGGCCCGTGCCGAACGTATGGGACCCCTTGGGGATGCGTTCGGTCGTTCGGGCCGAACGCAGACTCAAAAAAAAAAAAAAAAAACCAAAGTCATCAAAAAAATCTGAAAAACAGATATGTTAGGGAGAAAAATAAATTAAAGAAGATTTGCC